CGCCCATAGGATTACTATACCCCCCCCCTTAACTGTATGGTCACCTCCTCTCTGCCCATAAGAACCACCTCAAGTACTAACCAGTGCTGATCTTTCAGAAGTTATGTTACTCTCTGAGGGGCTAAGAGATATCCTACGGAGTCGGGCAAACACTTCTTCGAGAGTCGGAAGAGCAGATCCTCTCAATATTTGTGCCCTGACCGGTTCATACTCTGCTTTCATTCCCACCAAGAACCACGTAACATTAAGTTGTTCCCTTTGTTGTTGCTGAATTTTAACGTACGAGGTTAAGGGATGATAGGCATTAAGTTCATTCCGAAGATTTTTCATGCTGGCATAATATTCTTCAAGAGTTTGATTTCCCTACTACAAACTGAAGTATTCTTGATAAAGCTGATAAACCCCTATAGTGTTGTCTTGTCCCGAATAGAGTTTCTTTGCATATTCCCATATATCCGTCGTTGTATCTAAAAACATGAAGTTAACACTGATTTTTTATTCCATACCGTTCCACAACCATGTCATGATCTGAGCATCCTCTTGCTCCCAATCACTAAAACCTGGGGATTCAGCACTCGGTTTATCCTCCTGTACATGTTTTCACTTTCCTCTTGGCCTTCAGAAATACTTCCACCGACAGAACATAATTTTCGCCGTTGAGTTTGATGGATGTCATTTGTACACTTAAAAAATCAGGGGATATCATCACACTCAATTTCTGGTCACCACTCGAATCACCCACCGACGCCATATCACTCTACAAAGCTGGTCACAAAAAAAAATCAGCTACTGCACTACTGTCCTTCTACTTCCACACCAACACACTTAAAGTCACCACGAGCTTGCCCTAGCATGCATTCGGCCACTTTGAACACCACTGATCTACACATCGGCAGATTTAAAAACACCCAGAATCCCTCTTGAAACTGCTCATTAGAGGGTCAAACCACAACCACTACACCCACTCGACCACCACAGCTGTCAGTCCACACACAGACAAAACCTTGGATTTCTTGTTCACTCGAACTACTATAGTTGCCTACTGTCACCAGAACCAAAAATTTGGGTTACTTCACAGTCCTCTAACCCAGATTTCTCACACCGTTAAAAAAATTGCTGCAGAAACCTTAGGTATTGCCGCAGAAATAGAAACCCTACTGTCACGAACCTCTAGATGTTGCCGCAAAGACCTGGGTTTCTTCTTCTCTAACCCAGATTTCTCACGCCCAGAAGAAAACAAGAAAATAAAGAAGAAGGAGAAGAAAGAAGGTTGCAGCCGGCTTCTAATACTGACGCTCTGATACCATGAAAGTGTTCAGCCGAACAGAGAAGAGAAGAGAGAGAAAGAAGAAAGAAGAAGAAGAAGAAGAAGAAGAAGAAGAAGAAGAAGAAGAAAAAGGGGAGAAAGTGCCGAACTGGGTTATCTATTCATCTCACCCAGTTGACCATATACTTTGCATTTGAAAACATAAGATACAAAAAGACTGAAATGCCCCTACATTTGAGGAGACATACAGCCAACATAATACATAAATGGAAAAGACTGAAATACCCTTCTCTAACTGACTCTAACAGATATTATCAATTATAGTGAATCAAACTTTTGTGCTAAATTATGTGCAAATAGAAGTTTTCAGTAAGTTCTCTTAGCACAGTTGAATGACAGGAGGAAACTGGTGTGCTGAGAATTTGTCAAATAGGAATATTTCATAATTTACCAAGTCATACTTATTTAGATATCTTGATAAGTAGGGGTGCAAGTCGGACGGGTTGGGCCAGGTTTATGGTCAACCCGGGCCCAACCCGCATTGTAATTTGATGCACTCAGGTTGGGTTCAGGCCCGGGCCGAGCTCAAGTTGGTCAATGAACCCACTCTAAAATTATATATATATGTGCGTGTGTGTGTGTGTGTATTTATGCAAATATGTATACATGTATTTATGTATATATGTAAATATGTATGTAAATTTTACATATATATACATGTGTATAGTTGTGTCGGGCTCGGGCTGGGCCCATGCTACATAAGGGCTAGGCCCGGGCCTGGCCCGAAAAATAAAAAATCCCGACTTTTTGGGCCCGAGCCCAGCCTGAGGGCCAAAAATCCAATCCCAGCCCGTATAAAATTTCGGGCTAGGCCAGTTCAGGCTCAGGTTGGTCCCCGCCCAAGTTGCACCCCTATTGATAAGTCTTCAGTTGCTTCAGTTAGTAGCTTATAAGAGATTTACCTTGATTTCCCTCAAACAAAGCTTACCCCAACCATAATTAGAGACAGCATTTTCTGTTCTTATAAATGAACAACAAACATTCATGAAAAGATAAGAAGCAGTCTAGATGTTCCCCAACTAAGTAGGAGTGCAAGTCAGGCTGGGTTAAATCAGTTTGAGGTCCACCCTAACCCAACCCAAGTTGTTGAACCCCCAATCCTAACCAGGTTGGGATTGGATTGGGTTCGGGTTGGGTTCAAATTGACTTTTTCATTTCTTTTTGCTAATATTTCTTAGACTTTGTATTGTGATGCAAAGTAGGTATACAAAGTAGGTAGATTCCCCACAAAATACTTGGAACTTCCACTAAGGGTAAGGTGTATTTTGAAAGTTATTTGGGACACAATGCTGGAAAGATATGGCAAGAGATTGACCTCCTAGAAGTCTAAGGGGGAAAGATTACATTGTTGGGGAATGTATTGTTATCCCTCCCAGTTTATTTTCTTTATCTCTTACAACTACCAATGAGAGGTAAAAAACAACTAGAAAGGAAGATGAGGAATTTCCTGTGAATGGGATGGAACAATAGCTTCAAATTCCACTTGTTAAATTGGAAAAACATATACTTACCGAAGAAATAAAAGGAGACTAGGGTGAGAAGGATGAGACTGAATACAACTTTACTAGCAAAATGATTCTAGAGATTTAATCACAAAGTGGAAAGCATAGTGGAGAGAAATTGCTAAGAAATGTGAGGCGAGCAACAGGGAATGGGACCTAAGTCTAATACATCTTCTTTTGGATGTGCATGTTGATTTCCTAAAATCAATCCAGCAGAGCCTTATCCTACTAACTGGAAGGGAAGGGAAGGGAAGGGAAGGGAAGGAGGGAGTTTTCTTCATCAACGCATAAACTTGGTTTTCTGAATAAATTACCTTGCCTTTTTTTCTGAATAAAAATTACCTTATCTTTGTAAGATTACAAGTCAATAAATTAGCTGTAAATTAAGGTAAGGTAATTTACCTTACCTTTTTTCAAAAAAAAAAACAGAAAAGAGGATCTGTTACACAAATCCTGTTAAGCCATTCTAGTCTTTCAAGGGATATATCCCTTGTAAGATTGCAAGTCCCTGAATCTTCTCTCACATACTGATTTCCTACATTTTTTTGCACGAATACGCATCTCAATTTAAAATTCACAATGCTCCTTTTATTATTTTATTCTTTTCTTTTCATTTGGGTGAAGTGTTCTAGAATTTGTAGTATTTTTTTATAGGAACTAGAATTTGTAGTATCCAACTCTGCCAGTTGGAACAATCAGGTCCATCCTTGTAAAATTGAAAAACACTAGAACAATCCCAAGCTGTTCCAGTCTCTCCCTGTAAAAGGACTAGGACATTAAAATATCTTTTGATTTTCTCAATTGTGTTGCAGCTTAACCCATGATATTAAAAAGTTCAATGAAAAACTGGTTGCTAATTTATACACAAGGTTTTAAAAGGCTAAAAGCGGAGGTGAGGGAGTTGGGTGCCGAAGAGGTAAGGCGTAAGCCTTGAGGCAGTTTGAGGAGTAAGCCTGATGTGGACGCTTTATTGGGAAGACATATCACCGCCGGCAGCAGCAGTAAAGGGAGCAAGATTTGCTGATTCTCATCTTATCTAATTCTAGCTAGATACAGTTCTTATCTTATCAGTTCAGTAGGATAGATTAAGGGAGTCTTATCTTATCTATCTTATCTTATCAGTTCAGTCTTATCTTATCTTATCAGTTCAGTAGGATAGATTAGTAGGGAGTCTTCCTAATTAGCAAGGAGTCTTCCTAAAAGTAGGACTCTTATCTATTGTAATCTCCTATTTAAGGAGCAGATATTATTCAATAAAGGCATCGAAAATTTCAGTCAAGAAAGAGAGCAAAGGAGAGTTGGTGATCTCTTGAACAAATCACCTTTAGGGCGGCAAGATAGGTTCTTCAAGAAAAGGGAGGAACAAGGGAAAACAGGAGGTTTTCCCCATGGACCGACCCGTGACGAGATCCTACTCGCGGGCCCATAACAAAGCCTCAAATTATAAATATATATTCTTTTATTCGTATGTACATACATACATGTATGTATATAGATACACAATTTACTTCATTTCATAGACAACTTAAATACTTTCTATATATATATATATATATAGCCGGGGGGGGGAGGGATTTTATATTTATACTCATTTTTTTCTTAAAATTAATCAAATGTTTTATCATAATAATGCCCCTTTTTCAAAGCAAAATTTGTTTGTACAAGAGTATTTTTGTTCATTGTAATTAGATTTGGAAAAAGAAACCCTATTCCAACATGCACATTTAGTAAGAAAAAATAAATGGCATATTTTTCTGTTTAAAAGAAGTATTATGGGAATTTTTTTAAGTATAAATTGGTTTAATTTATTTTGATAAACAACTAAATTAGCAATTTTCTTAAATTTTAAGAAATATTATAACTAATTTATATTTTTCTTTCCAGTTTTAGTGTTTTTTATGAGGCTTACGTGCACAAGGCAGTGAGGCATATATGCCTTCAAAATAGAGGCGCTGGCTACTAGCAGCAAGGCAAGGCGCCTGGCGTTTTAGCTCCGACTTGCCTTGAGGCATGCACCTCAACGCCTCACCTCAGCACCTTTTAAACTATGTTTATAAATGTTTCTGGAAAATTTAAAAACTGGTGGCTCAAGACTCGTGCTATGGAAAAGATATTGGCAAAGGCTTGAAGTCGAAAGACAACTAGATGCATAAGGCAATTGTCAAGCTTACTCATTAAGGAAAAAGCCTGCATCTGCAAGACACTTGACTCTAGCATCCTTGAGCAAAATTTTACGAAAATCATCACAGTGTAGGAGAGTTGCTAACCCTCCAGCAGAGCATCCTGAAAGAAGAACCTGTGAAGTGATTGGGTATATTAGCAAGAAATTGTAATTTCTCTATTCTTATTTGCATAGGTGGCAAAGTTTTCACAATAAGCAGAAAACATTTTTGGTATGAAAAAATTATTGAAGGTGGCATATCCATCAAAGGAAACATGCTATCAGTGAAGCAATTTCATTACCTATCTAAGGAACCTGCCAGCAGTAACCTCATCTCTACAAGTGATCAAGTTTTAATAGTGAATGAGAACAGCACAAAAATCTGCCTTTATTTTGCTTCCTAACTAAATTGCAGTATGGCTAGAGGAAACATTTTGGATTAGACAAAAAACTCAGTCACTTAAATAAATCAAGTAAACACAAGAATTCATTTTCAGAATAAAATGTTAAGGAAAAGATAAATAGTTGACTCTTACTTTCATTGCATCAAAGATTATGCATAGGCAACAGAGCACAAATTATTATCAAAATGTCTCAACATTGTATCACCCTACTAAATTGCACAGATTGATGCTCCAGTTTAAAATGAGATAAAACTGATTAAAGTATATAACAATTTTAAGGAAAAGACCTGTCTAGCATTGGCCATTCCTACAGACAGGAGTTCATCCATAATTGCTTCCCAGATAATCTGACCCCTGAAAAAGAGTTCTGTTCCATTCTACACAACAAGAGTGTGATCAAAAGTAATTAGCTAAACGTACTAATCTAACCAGGTGCAGACTGCAAGGTAAAGTAGCACAATCTACACAGAAAATAATCATTTAAATAAAGTAACAGATGGGGAATGTTTCATTTCAAGTTACCTTCAATTCACTTTCTGGGTTCCCAGAGAATGATGCACCATCACAGTACCGAATCTTTACCTTGTTCCAGTTGAAGAAATCTGAAGAAAGACCAAAATACTAAGAATTTTTTTGATCAAATATGAGTAGATAAATAGTGAGAACATCAAAAGCAAGCCCTACATATACAAGGTCCTCTATGAATTATCTAAAATTAAAGAATAAAATGTAGCATAAAAAATGGCACTATAGAAGTGAAGACAAATAAACCTTCTGCAATCATCCCTCAAGTCAAAACAAACAAAGAAAGCAAAAGAAGATAAATTGAAAAAAAAAAAAACAAATTAAGAGACACTTGAGGTAATCATTTCAAGTACAGAGGTACTAAGGGGCATAGTTCTCTCACTTCCCAGCTTGTGTAAGGAGTTTCATCAGGTCTCCACAGACAATTTCTGTGAGATCATGATACAACTGTCTCCTGATGGCCCCTCTTACAGTCTTCCTCCTCTTCTCCCATCCCTGGAGAGCTTAAGTTTTGGTGTGATGGTATATATCTTGGCAGCTCCAGGGCAGCTGGGATTGGTGGGGTATTTATTTGGCTGATGACAGTATCTTTTAGGCAATTAGATGGATCATCAAGGACACAAAGTCTGCCAAATATGAGGTACTTACATTCCATACTGGCATTGGGAATGTCAAACAACAGTACATCTCTTTGATGGCCATTGACAAAGTGTAGGTAGGGTGTGGTTAGGCTACACGGGGGTGGTCTCCTTGAAAGGCAAAGGAAGGCTGGGACAGGGAATCAATCAAGGAGTTAGGGTAAACGGGAATGATGAAGCGGCTCAGTGGGGAGTCCAATGGTGGAGTGAATCAGAGATCGAATGAATCCTTTCACTATGGGGAGAGTTCTTATTTATAAGGAGGGATCCCAATATCCCGAAAAGAAGGAGGAAAGAGTGATTGATTCCTATTAGGAAAGGGAACATTAGATTTTCTATCGGTCATTGGGGAGCACTACTAGGGTTCCGCCACGTGTCTTATGAGATCTCTCAAGGTTGACTTTCCTTTTACCCAAGGACTCTCATAATCCACGCATACTACTTCCTTCCGCACCCTACTTGACCGACGTGGCACTAGTGACATTATCGTTTGGCGAGCACATCTTTACTAAGCTTACGTGGCACATTACCACATGCGTAATTTAAAGGTCGCACATTTGACTGATGTTCAGTTCCGGCTCGTGCTGACTCATACTTCTATCGTAGGTTTATCACAAAGCTGTGTGTCATAGGTTTATCACAAAGTCGCACACATCCAAGGTTTATCGCAGGACCTAACTTAAAAATTCGTTGCAGATCTAATCTAGGACTTATTTTAGGCTCGGGTTAAGCGTGGTTCATCACAAATCGTGCGATGAACCGTACGTTTATCGCAAATGTGTGATGCACTATAAGTTCATCGCAGGTGACCGATGAGCTAAAGTCTAATCGCAGGCGTCCATATGGTATCGATTCAGTGTCTTCTGGAATCTGAAGGATTGATCGAGCACTATGTACCTACACAGAGACTTGGCCAACATGATGCAGTGGAGTCAAAGTGTGGGGATTTTGATGCAGAGCCCAAAGAGAAAACATAAGCAAAAACTATGCTTTTGTCTAGGTCTATACAACCCTTTATATCCTCTAAAGGGGTATTGTGATGGACTAGCAATTGAGCTTCAACAAGCCCATGCGGAATGATCCAAATCCATGGGTCTTGACCAATTATCCAGCTAGAAAGAGAAGTGATGGGCTCCACAGGGCCCACAAAGATTTCTTACACTAAACAAGAAAACCACACAAAACATCCTATAGAATCTCTTTCTTCTTGAGTTTTTATTCATTGTCTGGTGATTCTACCAAGTGTCAAGTTAAGATATATTTAGGAGATGCAGAGAGCTTTCTTCATTTTAATATAGAAGTTAGCACTCTCTTATAATAAGTAAATATTCCACCCCATGAGTCTACAAATAGGGCAGGAACCCTTTGCAAGGGAATTAACGAATGAAATACATACCATATTAGCAGTTTTTATTTTCTTGTTTGGTGTTGAATCATAATAGATCCCACATAGGTGCCAACTCCTAGAGACCCTGGTGATAACTCCTAGATCATCCTACTATTACTTGCTTATTCCACAGATCTATTTCAGATCTGATTTAGGATTGTATCTACATATCATATCATATTTTCATTTTTTTTCCTTTTTTTGTCTGTGCGTGTGTTTGTCCGTAGCAAAACACATCTCCCCATGTACATACTTTTGACTAATTAATAGAATCAACACGATTACCCTCAGAAGAGAACAGGAAAGATATTGATAATACTATAAAAGTTCAGTTCTTCAAGAACACACTCAAGAAACAGTCCAAAACTTTGGAACTTAGAAATGGAGATGTACCATTTGACTGTTTCAAGCTTTCAGCTATCTCCAAAGCTAGGGAAATGTCAAGCACAGTGAACTCCTTTGTTATACTTAATATTATTAAAAGGTTTCTTTGTCATGAATCAGCCAGTAAACTCATCCATTGTACAAAGACAAAGTAGTAATGGGCTCCTAGTTTTGAAATGGCCAAGGTTTGAGTAGTTATTAGGTCCTCTGCTCAAAATGATGCTTATTGAGATATTTCCATGTTTGCAATATAACTATTAAGTTAATTGATCAAAAGAATATCTATCTATCTATATACACACAATGAGTTCAACTAGGGGTGGACACGAATCAAGCTTTTCACGAGTTATTTCAGCTCGATCTAAATCGAGCTTTGAGCCAATCTGGCTTACAGTGAAGCTCAAGCCAAGCTGAGCTAGAACTCAAACTTGATCCTCGTGTTTTTCTAGCGAGCCAAGCTCAAATAGACAGATATTCGGCTCAGCTGAGCTCGAGTCCACCCCTGAGTTCAACCCATCATTGACCCAAACAGTTGAACCATTTTACTTGTCACTCGAAGGTCAAGATGGTTTAGTTCAACCCCAAACCTATCAATGTACCAAAACCCATTGACTTGGTTGAAACCTGTTCAACCTAGATATTTAAACCACTAAAGCATTCAACCCATCCAGGGGTCACAGTTCGTACCATTTTACAATATCAACCTTCATATAATTCCTCCTTCATTTGATTATTAAAAGTTAAAACCAATCAACCATTCAATTCAACAATCATCATCATCCAAGCCTTATCCCAACTATATAGGATTGGCTACATAAATCTTGCTTCACCAGTCCATTTTGTTTAATGCCATATCCATTGTTAAATCATTGGCGCTTAAATCATTTCTGACTACTTCAACCAAAGTCCTTTTTGATCTACCCCTTGCCTTTCTAGCCCATTCGACTTGTAACAAATCAATTCTTCTTACAAGTGCTGTTGATGACCTTCTGTGCACATGACCAAACCATCTTAGTCTACTTTCTCTCATAGTCTCATTTTATCACCTATTGGAGCTACTCCTAAGTTCCTAATAATGACTTAATTTCTGATACTATCCTTTCCAGTTTTTCCACTCATCCATCTCAGCATATACATGTCTGCCGCACTCGTTTTCTGGACATGCTGTTTCTTGACTGCTCAACACTATCAAACCTAAAAAAAATAGGGTTAAGTACACTGAATGACAGCCCCCCATAGTCTACTAGTAGCCCCCCCCCCCCTATAAACCGCATCCTGCCTGTGAATTTGGCATCAATTAACGGTCAAGATTCACCCCCCTGTACGGTGGGGCTAAAAATTTCTGACCTGGACTGATCAGTCATTCTCTCAAAAAAAAATATTTATTTGAATATTATAAGTTGAAATTTATCTCTAACTAACAAATCAATTAAACAGTTAATCTTAGGAAAAAAACTGAGAGAGAGAGAGAGATAGCGTACAATGACAAGCAACTGGCAACCTCCTCTTTCTTTCTTTCTCAGCTGCCTCTTCTTCTTTACATATATTTTTAAGTTATTCTGATCTAAGGGTCCAGATTTATCATCATGTGTTAGTCTAACCCATTTAACTGGAAAGTCAAACCAGTGACCCATCACCCAGAAAGAAAACCGGATCAGTCTCCAGCTTGATTTTTAAAACATTGACTAAAAACGCTACTTTTTTTCTGGAACAATAATATCAATAGATGATACCTACACCAATAAAGATAACAACAAAAATATTAATGGACAATTCCCACAGCAATAAACACAATAACAAAAATATTAAAAAAAATGAATGTTTGTGGTGATTCAATTGGGATGACTTTTGGACCTTGGTTAGTGAGAAAGGGGCTAATTATTTGGGTGGTGTTAATCTTCCTCTATTCACGCTACATTTTAAGTATGAACTCTGATGTCTCTCTGAAATATGAAATACCATATTATTAGTAACAATTCTATTCCAGGCTATGAGGTGCATGATCAAATTAATAAGATTATATTCAAAAGAATGTTGAATTGTTTATTTGAAGGAACCATCAGTCTCTTGTATTCAAGTAGATAACTGAGTTATTAATTCCCCACAGAAACAACAGTGTTTCATTTTCAAACATTATTATCTATAAATGCAAACATTAAACGACAAGCTTAAACTCGAAACCCTCTGAGCAAGGTTATGTACAGGAAGAAATATATTGCAACGTCCAAAACCTAAATGGTTTGCAGTAATGAAGTGTCCATACCAGGATTTTGTAATGGGTCATGGCTTAAGATTCCAAGAAAGGGAATTCGGTGATCCATATAGAGTGAGGACCCTAGTGCAGTTCGTTTACGTGAAGAACATGATGCCACTGTATCGCACCAACCCCCACCCTACGAGCATAAAAGAAATGTCTAAATAAACACAACAAAGAGCCAATAAACGACTAGGAGACAAGAGTCGCAATATGGAGAAATTAAAGCATGCCTTTGTTCATTCATTAGCATAGAGATGCAAAAGTAAAGGTGCCCAAGCTACAAGCTAGGTAACGAAACTATGAAATTTCTTTGATCCAGCAGAAGAAAGAGTGAGTGCTGTTCTAGGAGTTACCTCAATGTGGAGAAGCCAGTTATTGGTACCAGAGCCAAACCCCTTTCGAAGATGGTACCCAGGTGCGCTACCATCTAAACAAACTACAACAGAAAAAAAGGCAAATATATTCAAACGCTTGCTTTTGCATTCCAATTTATATCGAAAAAAATGTTCTCAAAATGTTCCCTGCTGAAAGCATCATCACACCCAAACAGATAGAGTAAGTCCGTCTATTGCAGCAGAAACCAACAGTTATTGATACTTTCGAAGGAAATCAATCCATTTTCCACAAAATAGAATGATTAGGAAGTTTTCCATTACCAGCGCCTCTATCCTTAGCATTTCGTAATAACGTCAGGTCGACGAGAGAGGTTTTGGGATCAAGCGATCCGTTCAGGTCGCTCTCTTTGCTCCAAGAATCAATGGTGACAGTAAGAGCCAACAAGATAATTGTGAAGCCCGCAACTAAGATAATCCAGTTAGTTTTTGCCCATCTTTTCCACCAAAAGAACCCACGAAGCCGAGGGTTCGCCATTGTAGGAATGTTTAATGGATATCATGCAAGAAGGAACCAATTCAATTAAATTTTGAAGAGATCTAAAAGTGAATGCATTCCAACGTAGATAATTCGGAGCCGTAGAACTTGAGTTGCAGATTCATTAGAGCAATTGAAAAAGCACGGTTAGGAGTCAACGAACCCAAGTCTGCTGAGACCGGAAAGTTAAAATCCAGCCCACACCTGCTACCAACAACACACTACCAACACGGCGTCCAACGTCAGTCCGGATGAACTGGAGACAAAATTATACACATCAGGCTGGGCTACACGAGTGAACACGCCACGCCGGTTTTCATTATAGGCCCCATCTAAATCAGTGTTGTCAAAATCGGACAGGACCGGACGGTCATTTGACTGGTTCCGTTTTCCTCCAAAACTGTTTTTTCCTTTAAAACCTTTGATTTTAGTTAGTAAACCATTGAACCAGCCAGTTAATCGTTCGAACGGTTTTAATCATTTTCCAATTTTTTTTAATTTTTTAATTATTTTGTCAGAACTGACCAGCCGTTTGGATAGAACGACCAGACTGTTCAAACCGATAACTGGACCCCTGACCAATTTGGTCACTGGTTCGTTTTTAAAAACCAAGATCTAAACCCATTTGGGTGTGTTTAATCTAAATCTATATAGGTAATACAGCCGGGTGTGCATGATTTTGTCTCGAATCAATTAGATCAAAGGCAGCACATCTCAAGAGTCACTCATCACTACTCACTAGACTCGTCACTACACAGAGAGGTTGAATGATTGAGAATCCCATATATCCCATGACTGGTGTGGAGCGTTATTGTTAGTTTCGAAACCTATTGAACAACTATTGCATTCGGCTAATCCTATTCCATTGACACGAAGGGATGAAATGACCAAATATAATATTTCTCTTGTCAAATGTGTTAATATGTTTTTTCTAATAGTTAAATAAAAGATTAATTATTTAAATATACTTTGCGGTTTTACAAAACTACTTCCAACATACCTGTAGCTTCCTTATACCCTCTTAAATGTTAGATTTATGGGAAAAAATTAAAGGGCAAAAAATGCCCTTTAATGTTCTTTAAATTTTGCAAAATATAGACTTTATTATATGTTAGACACCTCTCCAATCAACATCACTGATTACTTGTTGGGGTTCAGGTAGAGGAAAAAGGAGTCCGATTTGCTCTTTAGCGTCACTCACACTAACTTAACAGCATGTATTGGTTGTACATTGAGAAAATCTCTCATTCTTGTATTTAATATTCATAGGGAGATATTTTCAATACACAATTAGTTGTGACTGTGAGGTTGATGTGAGGAGCAGATCCCAATTCAGAAAAAAAGACAAAAAAAAGGGACTTACAAGATTGATGATTTCATTGTCAATGTGGGTTGAATTCGTTGTCCAATAATATGTTATTGGACTTTAACATCGCAATGCACAATCACTGGCACATAGAATTCGACCTCAAGGTGGAGATATGTCAATTACTATTTTAAAGCTCTTCAACCAGTCCAGTCAAACCCCACCTTGTTTCATGTGACGGGATCTGCTCCTCACAAATGGGCGCCTCACAGGCACATCCACTGCATTGGGAACATCTCCTATGAATAATAACCATTAAGTACGGGAGATTTTCCCAATACATGATAAGATGTGCATGTGAAGAGCAAATCTGGTCTCTTGTTCTGCATGCACAATGTCTCTTATGTATGTGTCTATGTATATGGAGCCAAACATTCAATACTTTCCAAATCTGGGTTATTTCCCTCTTGATCATATTTTAAAATATCATTGTTCTGAGTTCGGTTTCCATCAAGGCAAAGCCTGTTAGAGCAGCCCTTATAGCCTTGCATTGAGAATATCTCTATACTTATGTGTTTTATTCGTGAAAAGATATTCCCAATACAAAATTACAAATGGTAGTTGAAACAGTGTGGGCACGGACTTGCCCAGAGGGAAGCCGATCTCCATTGTTTGACTGAAGGAGTTAAACAGATCAAATATCATTGGTGCAACCACCGTAGGCTTGACCATTGATTGACCTTTTTAGGATTGGTCATCGTCATCGATTCTTTAGCTGATTTTTAATGTTCAAACTATATTAACAAATACAAATTATTTGAAAATTTGATATTATAAAATGGTATAAATCATAACCAAGAAACTATAATGATTCGAATGCATGGGACAAATAGGTTTTAATCGAATTAACAAGTTTTTATATATTAAATAAGTTTGGGGTTGAATCATACCCTCTTAGCCTCTAGTTAGGGGTGTCAATTGAACTGATCTGGTCCAATCCAATCCAGCCCAATGTGAGTTCATTGTAAATGGATCAGGTCCAATTCAATCCAATAAATATATTGGATCATTTTGGATTGGTCCAATTCAATGTCTAAATCGTTTAATCTGTTAAAATTCATTATGATTTAAATTGATTTCAACCCAAACTTAGTCCATTGATATCTATATTCTCATCTTATATCAATGGATCAAATATTAGTTTAATCCAACTCAATCCAATATAAATTTATTATGAATGGATTAAGTCCAATCCAATCTAACAAATATTTTGGACCAAATTGATCCAATCCAATATGTCTTATTGATTCATTCAATCCATCTAAATTGATTTTGGACTGGATGGAATCCAATTCTAAACCAGTCCGTTAACACCCTTCCCTTAGCTCTAGTTAATGAATCGAATGGTTCGACTACCAGCCAACGATGAATTAAAAACATTGGCTCGTGTTATAGAACAATCATGAAATACAGTATCGGCAAGCACCCAAAAATTATATAAAATTTATTTGTTTATTAATTGGTAATAAATAAATTACACATTGGGCGTATTGGTTGTGGGTTGAATAACAAATCACCACCTATCCATCCATAGCAATGGATATAAATTGTTGAATTCACATGCTTTAATACACGGAGATGTACATGTGGGGCACAGATGTTCATGTTTCACGGTTCTGAAACTTGAAATGTGGGCTCCACGAGTGGATGTTAATAATATAACTTCTAATGTGCGTTGCATGACGTACAATGCATCATTCTATTCTAACAGCTCCAAATTTAACTATGTTTACATGACAATGAGCGGTACGTTAATAATTTAAAATATTACATAAAAAACCAAACATACATTAAAATGATGTCTTAAACAAGATTAGAAAAGCTAATATTCATTAATACTTACTTAAATATAAATTAAAGCAACTAATGGACTAAATTAAACAAATTGAAAAACCTTAAAATCATAGGAAATTCATTTATTAAAACATTTTTTTACTTACAATTGGCAAATAGAAAAAAAAAACGGAAAGAACACAAAAAACACCCAAGTATTGACATAGATTTACATGATTAAGCCTATAGCCTACGGCATATGTCAGAAAGGAAATTCATTCTCACCAATAGAGATTTAGGCTGCAGTTGACATTTTTAGGACTTATCTCTTTTTTACAGTTAAAATGCTCTTACAACTTTACGAACACCGAGTTTTTAACAGTAAAAAGGAGATAAGTCATTAAAATAAGGAATGCCAAACACAGTCTTATAATTACAATTTATAAATTATAAGACAAGGTCTTTTGCCGAAAAACCTAAAAATACATCTACTGTTCCATATCCCCTATTTTCTTATACACATTCTTACCCTTTTGGTCCATAAGTTATTAAAAAATAAGGATATAATTAGTCAATTAACTTAACAGTAGAGATAGTTTAAGAAATTTACCCTTAACAAAAGCTACAATTGTTTATTCGAACATTGTTGAACCATATCCAAATGGAAATGTGCTAGTAATCTAATCTAGTATAGGGGTTGGGAACATTTTTGGGGGATTCATTTACCTTTTTTTTTTTTTTTGACAACAAGAAAACTCAGGTACAATCAGAATTGATCACCTCTGATAAAAAGGAAGGCACGTGACCAAGTATAGAATTAGAAATTGAAAGAGCATGGGGATCAACTTGGTGAGCAGCCAAGTTACTGCTAGAGAGATTTGAGTAGATAGATCTGCAATCGGCAATTGTTGTAGCAATTCGCCAAGGGAGATTGTGAGGTTTTCCCAACAGAGCTTTAACAATTAACTGTGCATCTCCCTCAATATCAACATGTTGTAATTCAAGAGGGGATAATAATACTAGTAAGAAAACCACTTTAAGAGCAAGAGCATCACTTTCCAACGAAGACCCAGCATGAATTCACTTTCAGTCTGTTCTCTAAGACTATGTTTGGTTTGAAGAAAAAGATGGGGAAACCTATACAAGAGGTTTAGTCCAATTGAACCTGCTTTTTCCTTCAAACATTTTCCTTCCTTTCCCTGCTTTTTCCTTCAAACCAAACACAGCCTAGAGGTTTAGTCCAATTGAACACCGAACCAGGATTTTGGATTAGAACCACAGGATTGGTTTGACCAACGGTTAAGAGTAACTACTCTTTTGCATCTGTCGGCTGGCCTGTAATATCATTTATTACTCTACAGGGATCAAAGGGGATGCCATCCATGATCAATCTGCACCTAATGTCTTCAAATATGCCAGAGAGTAATTGCACATTTGGCAAACAGGGGAAGATAATTGTTGTGTTTTATGATCGTCCATCATCTCAGTCCAGTAACAACACCACCAATCCTGAATGCTCCAAGCTTGTCCAAGCTGGGTGGGAATCAATATGGAGGCCTAGTAAAAGGAACCAAATTCTCTTCACCACATCACAATGAAACAGCAAGTGTTCTATAGTTTCATTTGCCTTTGCACAAATATCACAACAAGGGTCTCAATAAAGTTTCTTTCACTGGTTGACTTCGATGGATGCATTTCCACTTTCCACAAAAAATAGATGCACTCTGGGAGGTAAGCCTCCTTTAAATTTCCAAAATGAAGACCACTCCACCTGCCCTAAGGCAATGTTTGAATAAGAGAATTGGGGGTTAGTTTGGGTAATCCACTCACATGCTGAGGCTGTAAAGAATATACCATTCGTTGAAGGTTTCCAGACAAGTAAATCTTCAAAATCAGCTTCTTGAGAAGGGAGTTTAATTTTCAGAATTGCTTCAGGAGGGAAGTGGTGAATGGTGATTAATGAAATCTCTCCGCCAGCTTCTCGAGTAAGGGTCAATGAGTTCCGCTACCTTACAATCGAGAGTCACTCCTGCAGCATAGAGGACCAG